CTTTCCCTCCTTTTTCTCTTTTCTTTTTCTCTTTCTCTGCTTTCTTTCTCTTTTTTCTTTTCTTTCCTTGTTAAAGCAATGGTAGGAAACTGGCCCCAGAGCCATGGGCCACAGGTGGTGACTGACCACTTGAGATGTGGCTAGTGAAGCCGAGGCACTGAATTTTAGTTTTAAATTTGAATGAAATAGACAAGTGGTTAATGGCTACCTGATTGGATAGGGTAGCCTTCTTAGTTTGTGTGACTCCTGCCATAGTCTCATAAATCCAAACCCTTTCCTGACCTGATTCTTTGAAACAAAACTGAGAATAAATCATATTATTACTAGGGTATTGTAGTAATTACATGCACATTCTCTCTTGCTGTGTGTGTGTGCGTGAGTGTGTGCATGTACAAGTAAACTTTGCTCTAAGAGGGTCAGTGAAAATAACTCACGTCAGCAACAGTTAACTTTCAAATTACAGTACGGCCATCTTTCAGTATCTTAAAAAATGCTCAACAAACACCTAGTACTGTCCCCATGCAACTGAACTGAAAGCCTTAGGCTCTGAATTCACAAACCTGAAATGCTGTTTTTCTTGTCTCATGATCAAAAAGCTCCATTAGTTGAGAGATGCTATTCAGACTCACTGAATACTGAACTAACGACATGTGGTGAATTGGACTTCATGAAGTATTCATGAGTTTCATTTAACACTAATTAAATAGTTTTTACAAAGGCCCATGTTAAATGATTTCAAGACCCTCGTACAGACCAAGAAGTATGAAAAATTAAAGTTCAGAGAAAATTTCATTCTAAAATTACATAGCTGAATGATACCAGTTAGGAGGACAACATTTATGCCTTTTTCTTATAATGATTTTAGTAAGCAACATTAGGAAATAACATTTTTAAAAATTATTTTATTTAACTTTATTTATTCATTTATTCATTTATTTATTTATTTATTTGGAGAGCATGCTCTCGCCAGACAGACAGAGAGAGACAGAGAGATGGAAAGTAAGAAATCACCCCCCGGGGGGGATGGCCACGCCACAATCCCTTCTCTTCCATTCTCCTCTTGAGATCTTGGGCACGCACGCATACGCGTGAGTTTAAGCCACCGGGTCTGGGACTCGAACCGCGGTCAACTACGTGGGACTTCAGCGACATAGCCATTATGCTAACTGCTGCTGGTCCCAAGAAATAACATTTTAAAGCCACTTCTTTTTTTTTTTTTTTTTTTTTTTTGGTTGTGCAGGGTGTGTGCGCTCGCCAGATAGACAGAGACAGAGAGATAGAAAGCGAGAAATCACCCCCCAGGGGGGATGGCCACAGCGCAATCCCTTCTCCTCCATTCTCCTCTCAGAATCTTGGGCACACACACACACACACACACACACACACACATACACACATGCCTGCAGTGAGTTTAAGCCACCAGTCCGAGACTCGAACCACAGTCGACTACATGGGAGTCCAGCAACATAGCCATTACGCTAACTGCTGGTCCCTTCGTATTTTTTATTTGTTCAAATTTTAATCAAAAACCATGGGAAGGACCATAGTGCAGTGGTTAAGTGCCATGCTTAGAAATTCAGATTCCACCTGGCCAACTGTGGTTTGAATCCTGGCCCCCGTATCTTGAAAAACACGCCAGGCTTGTGTGTGTGTGTGTGCTCACAGTCCTGATGGGATGGAGAATTGGAGGGAAAAAAAAGAATTTAGTGTGATCTCACCCCGTGGGGCTGTGGGGGATGTTCCTTCTCTCTGGTGAGCACACATGCCCTCTGGCATTAGAATTTTTTTTAAAAAAAATTTGTGGTAATCACTAATAGTCTGCCTTCTGCATGCCAGACAAGTGAAGGATGTTTATAAGGTGGTTTAAACACTTAATTTTGAGTGCCATCACAAATGCCATGTAACAGTAAGATCTGCTATATAGTGTACATTTTTATTTTTTTAAAGCAGCACTTTTATTTGAAATTGCTTCTTTATTACAAGAGGGATATGATGAGAAAACCAAGCTATATATATAAAATAAGGGGACTACAAAAAGTTCATGGAAAGATGAATTAAAGTATGAGTTGACAGGGCCAGATGGTGCAGTGGTAAAAACCAATGCTCTACGAGGGGGACCCCCATGGAAGGGGTGCCAGTTACCATCCAGAGATCTCGAGTAGGTCATGATCCTGGCTAGTTGAGACTGGGGTGGACTGCAGCATCAAGGCCCTACGATGGGTGCTACTGTATCTCTGATTCTCTGCCTCTTTCACCATAGAACACAACATGGGAGGGGGCAGCAGGTGGCACTGGCACGGGTGCTTAAGGGCACTGGACTCCCCCACATGACCGACCATGGTTTGAGCCTTGGACCTGGTGCCTTGCTTTCTCACTTTCTCTCTCTCTCAATCTGTCCCGCTCTGGTCAAATTTAAATAAATAAGCAAATAAAAATTAAAAATAATTCTAAAAAATAGGAAGCAAAATATATGCAGCAACTTAAATTCTTGGTTTAATTAAAGTAGAAAATGGGACAAGATTTTCTGGATAGGACTAGATTGAAGACAACTGCAACAACCAATTTGCTATAAAAATAGTTTTACTTACATTTAATCTCAAAATAACATCAATATATTTTTATAAGGAAAAAAAACTTAGCTAAATTAACAATAGCAGTATCATTACCCACTATTTCTAGTTAATTCATTTTATAAATAATCAGAACCTTGATTTAAGTAACTTTTAAGTTTTCTAAATAAGACATTTCTAATTGGAAATTCGAGTGAGATGTGTGTAAACTGAAAAATAGCAGGGTAGGTCTCCCGGAAATGACAAAGAAGAAGGTACGGTGATACACACACTCAATTTTAAAACTTACATGTTCCCTGAAACTTCAGGTTCATAGAAAATTCCCACTGTCTAATAAAAAGCAAAGGGTACTGGAAAATGAGGGAGAAGAATGTGACAAAGTGTCTTAGTCATTTGGGCTATTACAGAATAACATGGACAGTTCTAGAGGCTGTGAAGTCCAAGTTCAAGGTGTTGGCACGCTGTATCTGGTGAGGGCCTGCCTTCTGGTTCATGGATGGCACCGCCTACCTGTTTCCTCACATAACAGGAAGGGCACAGGAACTCTCCAAGGCCTCTTTTAAAAAGGGCCATCAAGGCCAGCAGGTAGCATGGTGGTTAAGGCGCTGGACTCCCACATGGCCAAGCATGGTTCAAATCCTGGAACTGGCAGCTTGAAAATTCCATCAGGCATGTGTGCGGCTATGCCCAAAAATCCCAGGAGGAGAATGGAGAGGGGATTGTGACATAGCCACCCTCCCCAGAGGGTCATTTCTCACTTTCTGTCTCTCTGGTTCTCTTGTCTCTCTCTGATGAGCACATACTACCTATGGCAAAGCCTTAAAAAATAAATAAGGGTCATTAACCTCATTCATGAGGATCTGCCTAATCCCCTCTCAAATGCTCCATCTCCTAATACCTTCACAGCAGAGGTAAGCATTTTAATACATGAGTTTTGAGGGTGAACACAGTCTATAGCATCTGGTATTGCAAAGAACTGATCAAAAACTATTAATGGTGGGTGGGCCAGCAGGTGGCATGGTGGTGAAGGTGCTGGAATTCCCACATGGCTGGCCATGGTTTGAGTCCTGGACCTGGCAGCTTGCTTTCTCACTCTCCCTCTCTCTCTTTCTCTGGCAAAACTCATGTGAAAAATAATATTAGCAATAATAAATAAATAAGTAAATCTTAAAAAAAAAAAAAAGACTATTAATAGTGGGTAATTACAACTCCTATGACCTATAAGGAGGGGTCAGAGTCTTAAAGCCGCTTTCCCAAAAGAATAACAATGAAATGCAAGCATTATCATACTCATTCCTTTTTAAAAACTATTTGTTTACTGTCTTTAAAATATATTACTCATGATGGAGTGCCTGCATGCGTGCACGTGAGAGAGCAGCACCCTCCAGAAGGCTTGGCCATATTGCAGCCCCTCTCCTCCAGTCCTCAGGCCCCTGAGCACACACATACATGCATGTGGCATGCCTTCACGCCCATCAGGCCAGGGACTAGAACCGTGATCAGCATGTGGCTTCCATCTTTGCAGTTCAGAATACCACCAACTGTAGCACGGAGGATGGGCCCTCATTTATTTTCATGTCCACAATAAATAGATGAAAAAAATTATAAAATAATATGCATGGTATGATAGTACTTCTCTTAAAAAAAGTTTTTAAAGATACACACAAAAACATAAATTGCATTCAATAGTAGTAATGACAAGATTTTAAAAGTGATTTTTATTTTCTTCAGTATTCCTATCAGGTTGTCAGAAAAGTCATGATGCATTTTTCTGTTTTTCTATATAAAAACATGTCATTACTTTTTCAACTACCCAATACATTGGCTAAATATCATCTGATGAACACGGTTTCATTTCAAATTAAAGAAAAAAAAAAGCCAATAAAGCTATTTCTACTCTTAAAAAATATGTCACTAGTAATTATAACTAATATCTAAAGCACTTGGAAATAGGATTAATTTTACCCTTGACCTACCAGGATCCCCTTTATTACAAAAAAATCAAAACACTAGTAAATGTATTTCATGAATACACTGTGGACTATCAGGAATGATTAAAACACACTTAGGTTTATTATGTATTTTTAGAAATTTCTCTGTAAACTAAACTTTATAAGAGAAATTATATCTGAGTTCACTGTTACAGCCTTATTTCAAATCTCATTGGTTAAAAAGAAGTTTATTCCCTAATTGATCTTGTGAAAATCCAGGCTTTTTGCTTCAAGTGAGATTTATTCTACTCTATTTCTGAAAAAGAAATCCATCATACTTTGATGGTCTGGAACTCCAATTATTGAAAATTAAATTTTATGATTCACAGAGCCAATGCTTTTTACCTCTGTTTTCTACATATTCAATGTAGATGAAATGTTTCCAAGAATTTAAAAGATGAAAACATATGTCCTTTAAGTAATGACAAGCAAGAGCCACTGCAGATAGAAACAGCTTTATTTTTTTTTCATTCAAGCTTTATCAAACGGATTGTTCAAAAAGCATATACAAGAGCAAAAACTACCATGTGCGGTCAAACTTATTTTGCCTTAAGAGTCACTGGTTTTCTTTGGAAAGAATACATACTTGAATAACTTCTAATTCAAACATTTCCCAACTGTTTCCACTTCGTCTCTGTCTTTTCTTTTAAGTTAGCAACAATAGAAACAGTTTAGTTAACTGTTCATCATGTTCTTTCTCATCTCTAATCATGCTGAAATAATACAATGCCTATAAAATCAAACCATATGCTGTTCAAAAATCTGAAAGGCTTCTTTTACATAAAAGATTCTATTCTGTTAAAAAACCACATTCAACTGATATTTGCAAAATGAATGAAAAATAAGACAAACTGAAAGCAAACATAAACAGTAATAGTTTCTTACCTAAATCATTTTAATCAAATGAATAACACATTCGTCTGATAATAGCCTCTATCTTTCAGAATATAAAAAAGTGCTCATATTGCATTTAGAAAAAAATAAGACAACAAAAACCTCCCAGAACGGAAATCATATAAATAAAGATGGTAGCACAGGGAATCAAAATTATACCTTTGCTCCCAAGACAGGGAGGTAGGTGTGAGTTTATTTAAAATCAGAAGGGGACTACAACGCTAAGATTGCAAATGCAAAGCTTCCTGCCTGGAAAAGATAAAAACTGTCTCTGAAAGGTCCGCCTGTGTCCCGTAGATGAAAGCCATTAACACAAAATCAGATCTCTCAGCCAGAATGCCTGTCAGCTGACAAACTTAGGCTGCTTCCCTGGACTGTGCTGTCTAACCCTAGCTGGGTATTCACTCAGCTAGGGCTCAAACGAACAAATAAATGTCCTTTGGAGCTGCACTGACTATCGGGATGGCACTATCTATTCTCCAAATAGCATGAGCATGAGTATAGGAACCAAGTGCGAAACTACACAACCAGGGCACTCTGAAGTTTCAATGGGGCCGACCTACAATGCCACCCTCCTGACAGCACAGCGGTTTGTAGACAGAGATGATGAATCATTTTCCTCTGAAGGACCCCCAAAGTGAATTCTGCAGGAAGAAATCGGGGTTGCAGGAACATGGATTCAAGGGTTCTCTTCATCTGATACTCAAGAGTGTTGATCCGTACCATACTATTCTACACGCTAATCACGGAGATGGCAGCCGGAAGTAAAGCAGCCGATGACATTGACTCACACAATACAAGTACTAACCCTCCCCTTCTTTTAGTAATGGCGAGGTGATGTACCACACTTTCTGAAATCTTGCTTTGAAATATCTCAAAATACAGATACTGCTGAGAAAACAAAACAGCATTAGGACATAATTCTTTCTTACATTAAAATTATGTGTGTGTGTATGTGTGTGTGTGTACACATAATTAACAGTTTTTTGAGTATGGCAGGATTTCACGTTATTTATACTTTCCTTAATGTTTTAACTGCTTATAGTGAGTGTCATTTCTGTAATCACTAAAATCATAAAATGAAACTATCTTTATTTTAAAGGAAAAAAGAAAAGAATGTTCTTTAGATTCTGAAGGCAGTTTCATGGAAGAGCCCCTCAAATGCTCTGAGGAGATTATCCTGAAGGTTAAAATCCCAGGAGAATGTAAAACCCTTGTGATCACAGAAAATGGCTTTGGGACTACTCTATCCCAGCTTAGCCAGTACCTCGTCCATGGATGTGCAACCCCCCCCCCCCACACACACACACAAAGAATGAATAGTTTACTGATATGTTGTATTTGTAGGCTTTTCATTTTTAAAAAATCATTTATTTTATGACCCCTTTCATTGTAGCTAGTTGAAGGTTATTTTCTAATATTTTCTGAAATTCAGTGAATTTTAGAAAAAAGCTTAAGATCAGTAGTGGGGAACAAACTAGTGAGTTTTAAAATATGGCTTTTTTTTTTTTTTTTTTAAATCAAGTAATAGAAAACAGAAGTCTGGGCTGGGGGGCAGCAGAAGAGAGGATCAGCTGGGAAAGGACACAAGAAAACTGCCTGCTCTGTTCTCCATCTTGTCTCCAACACAACCCGACTGTAACGAAGACGGTCATGTCTGACTCTCTTCCTTGTACCAACCCCGCACAGTGCCTGCCGCCATGACAGCAGACATGTGCTGAGCGGGCAAGGGCTCAACAAAAGAAAGTGAGAGCCAGAGACGGGGCGAGCGTCTGCTCCTAATTACTACGGTGGCACCTCCTCTCTGGCTCTCAAATCAAAGGGCGAGAAATGGATTGTTCCGCCTCATACCCTGGAACAGAGGTCGGAATGATTCCTATTTACTTAAATTTGATTTGTCACACAACTATAAAAGTAGTCAGATATTCACTTTCATCAATAATCAAAGATAAATGTCCTGAGTTCTAAGAAATAAAAAATTAGTGCCTACTCCTTTGGATGAGGCTTAGATCAAGGCAAGAGCCAATATTTTTCATTAAAAACACCATTTCTTAAGATTATTAGAAATAGAGAAAATAATATAGTATATAATTAGAGTAATTACATATTTTATTGTACAAATTGGGATACTTTTGAGAGTAAAAGGGAACACTGGTAACAATTATTCTAGGGGAAAAAAAGCATTCCAAGATAGCAAACATGAGCAGGACTATTCTTGTCTAATGGACACCGGACACTAATACGAGATCCTTTTTTACTGTTTGTATTTTCTTCTCCAAGTTCTCTGTTAAACTACATACTATAACATTTGGCAGCAATGTAATATTGAACACAGAATAACAGCAGTTTTGTTCTCTTGAGAAGATGTATTTTCTAACTGATGAAACAAACTTCCTACCTTCTCCATGCTTAAGGTTTACCTAGCATAAACTAAATGGATCTGAGGGAACAACCTGTTACAATTTCTCTAACGGCACAAAAAAAGTACAACTGTGATTTAATTACTTAGATGCACTTCTTAATTTTACTTTCCAAAATATTAACAGACAAGTTAGGATATTCTGCTCCAGAAATGAACCTCCAAAATGATAGATCTCAATTATGGAGCCAGATCAGGACACATTTTTAAAATCTTTGCATTAACCATGAGATTCTCACCAATACATCACCACAAAATGTTTTAGAAAAGCCATAGAAGAGTCAAAAATAACACGTCTAGTTTGTGGACAGTTACAGTGTTTCCCAAGGGGTGAGGATGGACTGTGGCACGCATCATTAGCACGACACGAACAGCAGAAAGGCGCAGGGGCTCATCTCAGTTTCTGAACAGCAGCATCCTTTCCGAACAGGCCTGCCCCACCAGGCTCGCGTACTGCAGCACAGTGGCCTCCTCGCTTGGGTCTTTCTGGTGTTTCTTATAAACACCGTAAGGCATGATGGCTTTCTTGTAAAACACTTGCAATCGGTCAGGTTCTTTACTGCGACCTTCGTCCACTGGAACAACAAAAGATACCAGTTTTTTAAAAGTCACATAACTTCATTTCGTTATTTTTAAATACTTAATTCAAAACACAAACATTTTGTATGAAGATGTCCTCCAGTCAGTAGGTTCGATGCAGGTGCACAGCACAAACAAACTAGCTTGGGCTGGCCAGTGGCACGGCACTGTGGGATGCTGGGCCCACGGGAAGGACCTGGATTTGCATCCTGAGGCCTCCCTGCACATGATGGGAACTTGCACTTGCTTGTGATCTGCGCTGGTTGAGCCTGAAGGCGGAGAGTGGTGTGGGGCTCTTGTTGGGGTGCCTGTGTTTCTTTCTCTCTCATGGAAAAAACAGACAGATGAACTTTTGGAGGGAAAAAGACTATCTTGAGTATGTTAATAACAAGTGTCTTACTAAAAGGCAATAAACACTCTCCAGAGTAATGATTAAGACACCAAGTAAAGACAAAGAATCAGAAATGATTTTTAAAAATTGGCCTTTTGGGTCAGTAGGTGGTGTAGTGGTTAAGGCACTGGACTCCCACAGGGCCGACCACAGTTCGAGTCCCAGACCTGGCAGCCTGCTTTCTCAATTTGCCTTTGTCTCGATGTTGTTCTTGCCCACTTTTCTTCTCTCTCTCTCTCTCTCTCTCTCTCTCTCTCTCTCTGTGTCTTTCTCTGGTGAGCACATATGTCCTATAGCAAATTAAAGTAATAATAATAGTAATAAAATAAAATAATGTTTAAAAATTGGCCTTTTATACCTTTATTATTTTCTTATAATCAATAAGGTTTATGACTCTCCAGCATCTTTTCCAAGTCTGATATAAGTCTACTTTGCCTCTCCTCATGGCAACATATGATTGGCACATTGTACTGACGGAAGTTTTCATCTCTGCTGTGAAGCTTTGGGCCAACTCGGCAGTTCTGACTAGGTCTGGACAATGGGCATTCACGTTCTTGGGTAGGAGGGCAGATCCTTAATGGCTTTCAAAAAGACGTGGCAGAGAATGGTGGTGGCTGCCTCAATAAGTATTCCTCTTTTTATATCTAAAACACCTTCAGGGATTTTTAAAAACTCTTTTCTTTTTAAGTTTATTTATATCTTCAGAGAGAGAGGGAGAGAGAGACTCCCAACAGGATCTCAACGCCATGATTTACCCTCAGCTTCAGCCAACACCGATCACAGGCACACTCATGCCTGGCTTACTTAGGGAGGACTCTGCGAGTGAATCTGGAACCTTCCCGTGTGGGTCTGCCTCACACACTTGCGCACCACCACTGCCCCACTGTCTGGCCACAACCTGAGGTTATCATCAGGGCACACAGGTGATACCTTTCAGCTAGGTGTGGGCTCATGACAAAGTTCTGACCAATAGAATGGATATATGTGGAAGTGTTTTGTGGTCACTTCCAGGAATCTTTTTAAAAGGAGAGCCAACCAAGCTAGTTGGAAGTATGGTGGTTAAGGCAGCTGGATCCCACATTGCTAATAGTGTGGTTCAAGTCCTGGGCCTGGAGGCTTAAAAATCGACACCAGACACATGTGTTTGTGTGTCCAAAATCCCAAGAGAACAGAGAAGGGATTATAGCATGGCCATCCTCCCTGGGAGGTTACCTCTCACTTTCCTTCTTTCTGACTGTCCCTCTCTTTCTGGTAAATGCATACACCCTACAGCAAACTAAAAAAACAACAACGAGGGGGGGCTGACCTACCTCTTTCATTTTTCAGCCTTTCCTTCATTCTGCTGCTTGGATCATGGATGTCATGGCAGGAGTCCTAACCTAAACCCTGGAGCTTGAGATTAAGACTTACTCTGGATTCAGCAAAAACAATCTATTGACAGAAGAGGACTGAGTAACTGAGGACCTGGTGCAACAAACTGCCATATCAGCCCTGGGCTGCCTTTGTAATGATCTTTGTCTAGTGTTACATCAAAAAAATTATCTTGGTTAAGCCAATATTATTTTAGGTTTTATTGATAGTAGTTGCTCCCAATCCTAATGTAGTGAATAATGGATAATGGTACAATATCCACTAAAATATATAATGTTTATCATTAACTTAGCAAATCCACTTTTTTTTGAGAGAGAGAGAGTTTTGGTACAGGGCACATATGCTTGCCAGAGAGACAGAGAGAAAGAGAGCCAGAAAGCGTGAAATCACCCCCCAAGGGGATGGCAATGCTGCAATCCCTTTTCCTCCATTCTTCTCTCAGGATTTTGGGCACGTACACGCATGTACTCAGCATGAGTTTTAAGCCACTGTGTCCAGGACTCAAACCACAGTTAACTACATGGGAGGCCAGTAACGTAACCATCTGCTGGTCCCTCAAGTCCACGCCTAAGAAGCATCCTACAGCCATTGTTCTCAAGACTGACTTCATAGTGGAATCACCTGAGAAGTTGCTGGAAATCTCCAAAGCCTCGATCCCCTCCTCAGAGGTTCTAATTGAGAAACTGGTTTGAATGGAACCTGAGGCATAGCATTTTGTTAAGTCTTTTAAAGTGGGTTGAGAAACGCCTAGAGAAACACCCAGAATGTTTATGACAATACTCTGTAATACTGAAAAACTGGCAACAAACTGAATGTCTATCCAGGGAGTACTGGTTAAAGAGTTAAGGTATGTCCATACAATAAAATGTGACACAAGTATTAAAAAGACAAAGACTGTTAAGTGGAAAAAAAAAAAAGTAGGTATAGTATAAATAACTGCTCTCTTAATTAAAAGCCTAATATATGCACAGGAAAAAAACAGATGGACAAATATATGCCAAACTGTTAACAGAATTTGCCTCTAACCTATTCCCCTTGCCTAGAACTACTCCCCTTCCTCCGGGAAGCCCTGTGGCTCACTGCCTTACTTACCTGATCACTCTCAATGTCACCTCCTTGGGGGCTTCTTTGGTTCCATATGAAACAGTATTCCCATTCTCCCTTATTCACCTTCATAGCACTTACTGTCACCTAATATATATTTATTTATTGCCCATTTTACTTTCCATTAGGAACAAAGTGCTATGAGAATAAAGATTTTGCCCATTTTCCCACTAATATATCCCTAGTGCCTAAAACAGGATCTGGCACACAGTAGGCACTCTATAAAAATTTGCTGAACAAATGAATCTAAAATGAATCTATCTCTATGGGTAATATTTACACCCTGTGGAATGCACATACACACACACTCTCATTTTTAGATTTTCTATCATGAAAATTAGATTTTTATAAGTTAAAAAATAAGTTTTTTAAAAGTTACATTAGGGATTTAATTCTTTTCCTGATTTGGATCTTCTGGAAATAAAGAAGAAACAGTTTACAATTAATTTACTGAAATACAAATTAATTTTCTTTCTTTCTTTTCTTTTTTTTCCCAGAGTTTTTTTACTATAGGGCACATGAGCTCACCAGAAAGACAGAGAGACAGAGAGCGAGAAATCACCCCCGAGGGGGGATGGCCACGCCACAATCCCTTCTCCTCCAGTCTCCTCTTGGGATCTTGGTCACGCATGCACACGCGCCTGGCGTAAGTTGAAGCCACCAGGTCTGTGACTCGAACCATGGCCAACTACATGGGAGTCCAGCGACATAGCCATTACACCAACTGCTGGTCTCAAATTAATTTTCTTAATCGTCCCAAATTTTTCAGATTTCCCATTATCACATTATGACTGTAAAACAGGCACTGAAGCCTGTTAATAATGCATGCTGCCAGCATCCGCCAAGGTTCTGCCAATACCTTTCTTAAAACTCCACTGTTTGGGACCAGCAGATGGCATAATGGTTACATTGCTGAATTCCCATGTAGTTGACTATGGTTTGAGTCTTGGACTTAACAGTTTAAAACTCATGCCAGGTGCATGTGCATGGGTGCCCCAAATCCTGAGAGAATACTGAAGGAGAAGGACTCCAATGTGGCCACCCCTGGAGGGTGCTTTCTCCTTTTCTGTCTCTCCGGTGATTGCAAGAATATCTCCCTAAAAAAATAAAATGAAAATAAATAAATAAATAAATAAATAAATAAATAAGTAAGTAAGTAAGTAAAATAGATAAATAAAATGAACAAACAAAAACCCAACTGCTTGGGGGGGGGGGGCAGCATACGGCATAGTAGTTATGTCGCTGGACTCCCACATGGCCTGACTGTGGTTCGAGTCCCAAACCCTGTGGCTTGAAAATCACGCTGGGCACATGTCCAGCATGCCCGAGATCCTAGGAGGAGAATGGAAGAGAAGGACTTGTGGTGTGTCCATCCCACCACCCCAGGGTATAATTTCCACTTTCCTGCTTACTGTGTCTGTCTCTCTCTCTCTCTCTCTCTCTCTCTCTCGTGAGTGAGCACACCCTAAGGCAAAAACCTATTAAAAAACAATAAAAAACCTACTGCTTCCCTGGGTGAGTGTTCCTAATGACTAACTTGAGGGGTTCTCACAATTCACAAAATCCTCACTACCCAGGTAAGATTACGTCATAATTCTATAGTCACATCAACTCAATTTTAATTTGCACATCTCTGAGGAATAATTTATTCAAACAAGAAGGCACTGATATTAAGGTATCAAAACATAAGCAAATGAAAAGTTCAGTTTCCTCTAAAAAAAGAGCTAAGCTCTATCTCTTCCCACCTCGTAATAACTTGAAATTAGAACTCAAACTTATCATTTAAACTTAAAATCCTGCCTACCCAATGAAAGCTAGAAATATTAATCTAAAACTGTTAGTACTGTAGAAAAAGAAAACAAACAAGGAATAAAAGAAATAACAGAAAGATAACTATAAATTTTTTAAAAATTGGTATTTCAGTAGATTGAAATGGCTCATCAAATTGAAAATTAGTTATCAGTGAATTAATCGCTATTCAAAAATTACATTTTTATTCACTTTTAATCATAAATGTAATTCTTATTATAAAATTTAAATACTACAGAGATAAAGCAGAGGATGCTATCAATTCCTCACACATACTTTTTGCTCATATATTTTCCTTGTTGCCTCACTAAACCCACACCC